TTAGAATAGGGTTTTGGGACTCATTATACTAGAATTATGCTAAGGAACTCCACAAAATAGTTTTGGTAATTAGTCAGGCCCCTAAACCCTAAACCCTAAACCCTAAACCCTAAACCCTAAACCCTAAACCCTAGCATCTTTGGCCTGAAGGGCCAACTCCCGAAACTTTGAGGGAGGATCTCCCGAGGTTTTGCTGCGAGGGGGCCCACTTTTTCCAGTAGTGCCAAGGCCGAAGGCCGTGAGACTTAATAAGCCTAACCCCCAGGTACCTACTATATAGGTTTGGGTTTAGGGTTTAGGGTTTAGGGTTAAGGGTTTAGGGTACTAGAGCCTCCTAGGGCCCTATATAGTAGGTACCTGGGGGGTTTGCGTAAAGTGTGATGCACGCATTTCTTGACGAAACCTCGTAATTGAGGAGTGTGCATTGAGTCATAGTCAGGATCCGCCTATCATCTAAGATGGATTTGGTGTCCGGGCCCGTGTTTAGGGTTTAGGGTTTAGGAGATTGCCCCTACCCTCACCTTCGTAACTGGACAAACAATAGCCGCATAGGGGATTTTGAACAAGTAGTCAGATTGTTCCGTTATTGTCCCTATACAGTTTATAGTATGAAGTCGCACCGCTCCTACACCCTAAAAGCCCTAGACTCGACCCCGAAACCCTTCAACCCTAAGCCCGAAGCCCTGAACCCTGAAACCCGTGACCCGAAGACCCCTAAACCCTTAAACCCCTAGACACTATAACCCCTAAACCCGGAAGCCCTGAACCCGAAAGCCCCAAGCCCTAAACCCTAAACCCCTAAACCCCCAAACCCCTAAACCCTAAACCCTAAACCCTAAACCCTAAACCCTAAACCCTAAACCCTACACCCTTAAACCCTAAACCTTTAAACCCTAGACCCCACGTCTTAGCCCAAAGGAGCGCGCCGTGTGCCGGCGTGATGCGGCTGGGCAACGTTTCCAGGACCCCCGGTCTGATGTGACAAGGTTTCTTTTTTTAGGGTTTGGGGTTTAGG